CGAACCTGAGTGACGTACCCGTTCAGCCTGTTGTAGGTGACAACAGCAGGGCTAGACGAGATGACGAAGATCAACAGAAATAATTTTGTGAATTGATTTAAACTATTTCAATTATTTCAATTATTTAAATAATTCAAATCGATGGGATTCGTGGCTCAGCCAGAGCCCACCGATTTCAATTCACAAAATTATTTCAATTCACAAGGTGGCCTTGTGAATTGAAATATTTGAAATAATTGAAATCCCAGGGTTCGGTGGGCCGAACCCACTGACCCGAGGGATTTGAATTATTTAAATAATTGAAATAATTGAAATAATCTAAATAATTGAAATGGGGCCGATTTCAATTCACAAAGTGGCCTTGTGAATTTAAATAATTTTCTTATGAATTGAAATAATTTTGTGAATTGAAATCGGCCGGATTTGAATTATTTCAATTATTTAAATAATTCAAATCGGTGGGATTCGTGGCTCGGCTAAAAAAAACCACCGATTTAAATTTACAAAATTATTTCAATTCACAAGGTGGCCTTGTGAATTCAAAAAAAACTTTTGTGAATTGAAATCGGCCCTGCTGATTTAAATTATTTCAATTATTTCAATTATTTATATTATTATCAGTCATATAGAAAACAAGAGGGCGTCAAATAGACCCTAAAGGCGCCTCTCTCATATATATAATATGTATATGTATAAATATATATATATACATATATATATATAAATACATATATACATAGATAGATAGATAGATAGATATATAGATAGATAGATAGATAGATAGATACATATATATATATATATAAATAAAACGACACACGGCCTCAAGGTGCGATGCAAGGTGGCTCATTGCTGCTGGTACTCACCGGTTGCAGAATGAGGTAGTTTGCAGGCGATGCAAGGTTAGTTTCGAACCAGAAGCTCCCATCTAGAATGAGAATTGGGTCCGCTCTGAAAGTTAGGGCTGGGCTAAAGAGTCTTTGCCAGTGGCCAGAGCGACTGCTTGCTTCCACTCTAAGTCAGTGACCTGATCCTCTGCTCGAAGCCAGAACTTCACAGAGTTTAACGTGGCGCTGCATTGTTCGGGGGTCTGTGGGTTGGGCGTCACTGCAAAATTCTTTCTGTGAAGGGGAATCTGCAAGCGGCCGTTACCGGCACTGAAAGGATTCTTTAAACTTGGGTCGCACAGCCTCCATGCACCAGAACTAGCCCCAGATCCCGTTGCACCAAACCTAAACCTGAACGAAGCACCATTTGGATCCTCCGCCGCCTCTCTGAATCAAGGCTGCAAGCTCTAAGCTGGTTATGGTCCATGCCCTCTCTTCTGTCTCTTCTGACTTTTTTCATCAATATCTACCGAGTCCTCTTTCATATGATGCGTGTGAGCAGTCACTCGCTCACTTGCAGAACAGAAACGAATTTCAGTCAAAGACATGATTGAAATCTCCTAGCGATCTGGTGCAGAACACGAAGCAATTGGAAATCGAAGTCTGAAAACAAGGCTGGGTAAAAGATGGTCTAGTTAGGCCGGGCAGGGTTATCTCACTAGAAGACTTCGGTCAGTTCTCAGCTACGACTGCTCAGCTACGACTGAGAAACAAGACAGTGTCCCACGAAGTCCGAGATGGCTGCAAGGTAGTATATACGCAAGTTGGCAATAAGATGCGAAGCCTCAAGTCGAGACCCTCCACCGTAAAGTCTTATTCTAAACCTCAGCGTCCGCGGACACAACGCACCCTCTGTGCACCGGTCAGCCAGCAGTTTGAGCTTCCACCGAGGCTTGACTTTCAAGGCTTCGGAGTGGAGAGGCAAACTTGAACCCTGGATCTCAAGATTCGGTACCGTACGCAAGTCATGTTTGGGCTTGATCCGAGGGTCCGAGACTGGACAGGTGCGTTGCAGAGCGAGGTACGGGCTATGTACAGTGCTGCGCGAGCAAAACGGATGTTGAGTGTATAGTGTCAACCTTAAAGCTCAAGACTGTGGCTCGATAAGTTTGGGTTTCGAGCGGTTGTGCTCAAAAGGAGGCACTCAACAGTTGTGGCCGGTTCAGAGGGGCTCGTCATCTTCGCATTCTTCCTCCGGAATGCAGTAGCCTGCCTCGGCGCACCTACGTGCCTTCAGCTCTGCAGCCAAACACACAAAAAATCTATATCTACATACCAGTATCTAAATACACGACTTCGGTTTCCTCGCTCCCCCTGTTGACACCCGCACTTTCCACGATTCTCTTCTTGCGTTGAGGCGCAGAGGAGCTGCCGAACTCGTACCTCGAGTCCGGGAGTACAAGTTTGCGGCTTCCGGCTCGGAACTGAATGCTGACTTGTGTAAAGTTCTCCGTGATTCTGGTGCAGATGATGCTTCAAGGCTGCAGGGTCAGCAAAAGCTTCCTGCAGAAGGATCATGATTCTGGTCTGGTAATGTCTGGTAGTTTACTTACTGGGCAGGTACTGAAGATGGCAAGCCGGACAACCGACACCCGGCATGCAACATGCCCCTCCTCAAAGTGGGGTCCCAGGACTGCGTTGCGAGCTGGAAAATTCCAGCCCGTTCCAAGTAAAACACTCTTATGTTACCTTGAAACCCTAGATGGTCAAAAGACTTTCGCATGGCTCCCTCTGCACTTGTGGCGCCGGCTCCGATTATCCGATGCTGACCAAGCTGCTCCCAACTGGGTGCAGAACGTCCGGAGCGCCTTTCCTGGTCCTTCATGATGGCTGCAGTTTGAAGACAAAATGAGCTGTCTGAACCATCGAAAGTTGTGGTTTGGGTGTGGTAAAGGGACCTTATGCACGGCCCACAAGTTTCAGGAGCTCGTGTCGAGATTTCGATATTCTTCCGACAATATGTGAGCTCCATACCGCCTGAAGGTGCCACCGTTCAGGAGAATACGGGACGAGGCAAGAGCAAGCTTGGCCAACGTGGAGATTAGCTTTGCATGTGGGATCATCACAGAAAACTGCTCCAAAATCTGCTGCCGCTTCCTCGAAGACTCGGAGGATGAACACCTTGCTGTCTTAGAGCAAGTGGAGCAGATAGTGTTAGGCAGATGGATCTAAGGATGACACACGTTGCTGCGGGCACCTGCACAGGCGCGCTCTACTCAAGCCTGCCCGGGGCGAGCAATGTGTGAAAGTCGTCAGTCGATCCCGGCACGGGGCTCTTTGTCGGGAAGGAGTGGCGCCACTCTGAACTCATTCCACAGGCACTTGTGTCTGTGATACGGTTGGATTTTGGACGCGAGCTCTGAAAGCTATGGGGGGCCAAAGAAGTCCTTGAGGAATGGGCGCCGGTCGAAGCGCCAGCGTCGCCTACATAGCAAGATTCAGCTGCAACGTTCAGGATCTTGGAGCTTTGAACTTCCGGCTTGGGCCTCGTCCCAATGAGTTGGGCCTGGGGCTTTGCCAGATGGTATCTTCAAACTTCAGGAGCGGTTGCACATTCGGTTTTGGTGAACGCCCGTGCCCCTGTTTTTCTGGGTGGAGCATTTTCGCTGAAGCAACCGAGCACAGACATTTTTCAATCTTTATATGCAAAAGTGGAGCAAAAGTAAACGTAAAATGACACCTCAAGGACTCTGAACTTAAGAGATAGTACCAAGGAAACGAATCTTGTAACATTGCATGACTGCGAGCGTCCAGGAAGCATTCTCAAAATGAGGCCAACTTCCAAAAGCCAGAAAAGGCCAGACAACCCAACAGCTTCCGTTGAGCTCATACCAGAACGAACGGAAAGACTTCACTCACAAGAATCACATGCATCTGGACTTGGCGAAACGTGTTCTGAACCCTCCTGTGGGCAGAAAAATGCCTACATGGAAGCTTAAGGCAAGACCTAGGACCCGCCAAGGCCTGGCAAGCAAAGAGCCGTGTTCCTTGCGCAGGTACCAATCCTGGAAAGCCGGTTGCGGAAACAGCAGCATAGGATGTGCTTCTGGCTCTTCTTTGCGCTCAAATCTCCAAGCTGAATCTGTGGCCGATCCCAGTGCCCTGAAGGCCTCAACCTGAAAATCGAAACCTTGGTCGCCTTGAATGCCTTGAATGCCAAGAATGCCTTGAACGCCTTGAACCTCGAAGTCCCCGCCTGGTCGGCGTCCAGGTCCTCACTGGGAGCGGGCATCGCTGCCTGAGGCACGCGTCGATAGCCGTTCCTGAGTTTCTTGCTGTCGCTTCTGATTTCAGGAATTCTTCCGGCAGATTTGCCGACTACTGGAGGCTTCGGATGCATCACAGGCTGAGCATGTTTCATACCAGCTCCCAACCTCGCCTGACCCTGGCCGAGGCGCACAAAGCAGCAGCGATTCGGCTGGGGAACTGGTCCCCGTGCCATTTCCGAGGCCTCAGAGCATTGCTGGAAAGGTTTTGGCAGCGCTTAGCGTTGTGATTCGTTCCAAGTCAGCCCCCACCCCTGAAGCTGCACACGTCAGCTCAAGAGCTGCTTTCTGGCATTGCAAACATCGGAGTCGTGATGAGTGAAGCACCCCGCGCCTCTTTCCCACCGCCCTCCCCTCGCCTTGTTCGTGTCGAGACCTCCAGCTCCATTCATGAGGGCGTCTTTGTACGAGATTCCTGGGCTCTCCGTGAGAAACGTAACTGAACTTCGAAGTTGGAGGCTCTGAAACTGTAAACGCAGGCTCTGAGACCGAGGATGGCCGAGGCCCAAAGCAGAAAACTTGAAGCTCAAGAGACCCACGCCCTGATGTCATTCATCTGTGCACCAAACAACAAAAGCCTCGGAGAGCAAGCCTGGAACACTCGGAAGCCAGCAAACGCCGAAAGCCTGAGCACTCATACCCCACTATAGGACTCTCACGAATGCCCACTATCCCGAAAGCCTTGGAAACCGCAAAAAGCCATTACCAAACTGTGAGCAGTCCAGGACTCAAGAGACTGATGCCCAAATCTCGAAATCCCCTGACCCAAAGCAGCAAACCATCCTGCCGTCTAAACAACTAAACTCAAACGGCTCGACAACTCTGGACTCCGAAGCATCGAGGCTGCACAAAACCTCGCCCCCAATACCTGCCAGGAACTGACCTGAACCCGGGACCCCGCCAAACGTCAAGGGACAGGGCTCAGGATGTCAACTTTCGGGTCTGGTGTGTGGGTCTTTACCCGTAGCATGGTACGAATCGCTAGCCTGGAATGTTTCCGAAACGGCATATGTTTCATGCTACGACTCAAGACTTTCATTGAAGGTTTACGGGTCGAGACCAACATCGTGCCCATTGCAAGTCCGACATGTCCGCTGGATCCAGGGTGAACGACGGCATCATTGCGCTCTACCAAGTCACCAGCCGGAGCGGGTGGGCTGTCCAAGAGCTCCCCTGCGCAAATGGCTCAGGTGTGCATTCGCAGCTGTCAGCATATAAACGTGTCGGGTTGTCATGGAGAAGCTGAAGCTAGATTGTGCGATCGAAAGATGTGCAACTTTGGGCTCAAGGATCAGGGCTTCAGGTGCTTCAGGGCTCTGTCCGAGGTTGGGTGTAGTGAGAGCTGTCCGGAACGTAAGCCCCGTCACACCCCGAAGCCGTGGACCTCAAGCCTCAAACCTTCAGCTTTACAGAGTTGAATCCTCCGTCCACGCTCCTGAGTGTGCCGCATGGCTCAAGGAGGGCCAGCCAATCGCCGTGCAAAGGGACACGTTGGACGCGAGAGATTCGGCCACCTTCCACCGCTGACCCAAGGGCACAGCCCCCGATAACCAGACCACCACGAGCAACTGTAGGAACAACAAAGGAACGGAGGCATGCTGAGGAGAAGATCCAGGAGAACAGCTCCCATGGAAGCATTTCAGCCAACATAGGCTACATTTTCGAAAGCTGATCATGACTGATGCTGTGTACCTACAAACGGTTTACATGCTAAGAACGACAATGGTCAAAACACACTTTGTTCAGACCCGAGACATGTTCAGAATCAGCGCCTGAAGCAGCGAAGAATGACGAGAACATAAAGGCTGCAAGATTTCAGCATGCGGGGTGTAAGCTCATACAACAGAAATCCAGATGACACAGGGTGTTGCCTCGGGTCTTTTGACAAAAGAAACATCGAGTCGGTAATGTAGGATCCATGGGCACCGGACCTTCTGAATCTGCAAAGTCCGGATGTAACAATGTCCCGAACAAAGGTCGTGGTAATCATATCCCGGCAAGATACCGAGCGCGTATCGTCGTCCGTAGGAGCCCAACGAATGCTCGACAGAACCTGTGGTGACAACAGGCTTGGAACGATTAAACTACGCTTGCACAGATGCCATGGCATCCAGGATTGCGGAGGGGACATGGTCTTGTTGATGCTGTGCTTGCAGATACACGGATGCTGCTCTGCCATGCTCTGCCCACCCAATGGGAACACAGGGTTTTGGGTTCGGAGTGAAATTGAGTATAGTAAACCCAAGCCTCCCAGTCCAGGATGCTCGCGTCGCGCGCATCCAACAAGTCCCACTCAGACGAATCCTGGAAGTAGGCCGGGATCCATCGGGCAGCCAGTGTGCACGGTGCAGTCTGAAAGTTTGGCACACCGGGATGTAAGGAGGGTTTCGTTTTGCATGTCCTTGACAGAAAAAAGTATGGCCAGAGATGCAGGTAGGCTTCCTGTGCAGCACTCCAACTGGCCGCAAGCATCATGTTGTGGCTGATTCGACAGTGGAGCATGTACTCAGGAGTCTACAGATCTTTACGGTTTCTTCTGCACGGACAAACAACGAGGAAAGAGACCTTGCACGATGCATTCCATCTTTCCTTTTCTCCGATGCCTGCGCCTACTGAAGCATTCACTGATGCATTCAGCCGAGAACCCAAAGTCTAGTCTCCGATACTTGCCATTGCATCCGAGGGGAAGAGACCCCGTGTCAAACGCACTGAAAGCGCTGAGATCTCCAAGTGCAAACAGTGCAAACTCAAAGCCGGAAATCGGACTTGCCGGCAAATTTCCGCAGTTGACACAGCACTGTCCGCCCTCGGCGAAGCCAGGCACAATGGTGTTGGCTCGGACTTACGGGGTGAGTGCTTCCCTATCTAGAGTGCAACACTGAATGCCTTCTGCCCTTGAGGGCTTCCGGCTCAATGTTAAGGGCTTGGCCATGAAGCCGATTTTTTTCTGCAGGAATGGGGACAACAACAACTAGCACAGTCATTACCTTGACCTGCTTCGATGGAGTTGAGGCGTGCAAAATGCACGAGTCAGGTTAGTAGTCTTGTCGAGTCGTTCAAATCCTCAAGCCTCCTGAAAACACTACGAATCCTGAAACATGTCGCGGCGTCTTTCATCACATTCAACATCCAAAACAAAACATAACAAGTAAGCCAACCCTATCGACATTGATTGAGTCGTCACGTCATGACTCCGCACCGCAGGGGCCTCTATCCTGATTGTTGACACTTTGGAAACTTCGATGTCGGCTTTTCCTAGCTACTCTCTACTGACTGGGGTGCCGTGCAAGCCTTCACCCACGCTCCAACATCTAACTGGAACAAAATTTGGATCTTACCTGTCCTGTTCTTAGGGGTTGGGATGGGCCCTGAATCCAGCCAACATGCCGCTATCCCAAAAAAGGTGATCGGGATACATTTGCTTGCGGTGGAGCCCCGCGATGTAACCGTCGCACTGCACCGAAGTAAAGCCAAACCGCTGGAGAACGTGCCGCAGCAAGTGCTTGAAACCCAACACTCAGCACCGTGAACTATGGAATCAACAAAACCACGGTTGTGAAGGGACTCCCGATCTAAGTGAATCCCATAATCGCCCCGACCGGGCCTAATCAAAGGCCTATCAGCGGCATCTGAGAATGAAAACTCCAACCAACGAAATGCCTCAAGCCACCAACGTGCCAGCAGCCAACTCAGACCTCAACACATCGGACCCTCGCATCGAGTTGCCCTTTCGGCAAATTAGGGCAAATAGGGGACATGTGCTAGTGCCAAGCGCTTTGAATTGAAGTCCCGGAAAGTTGAGTCTCCAGCATTCTGCCTCGCGACAACTTCGGAGGAAGGTCGCAAGGGCTCCGGTCAGTTGCGGAGGTTTGAGCCAGCCACTTGACAGAGAGGAGGTTTCCCGGTCAACGTTTGTCAGTCTAGCTCACACACAGAGACACAAACACAAACACGAACACGAACACGAACACGAACACGAACACCAACACCAACACCAACACCAACACAAACACAAACACACACACAAACACACACACACACACAAACACAAACACACACACACACATAGACAAAGACAAACACACACACACAGACAAAGACAAACACACACACACACACAAAAATACACACACACACACAAACACGCACACACACACACAAACACACGCACACACACACAAACAAACACACACACACACAAACACACACACACACAAACACAAACAAACACACAAACACACACACACACAAACAAAAACAAACA